TGCTATGTTATTATGCTATGTTATTATGCTATGTTATGTATGTTATGACATTACATCATATAACTTCTTTACCTTGAAGTTGTGTCAATAGTAACATTAAAATCTGCTTATTTCTAGGGGTTAAGATGCAGTTGAAGGAGCATATATCCCCATCAATCATGGAAGACATCCTTCAGTTTATGTATTTGGGAGAAATATGTGTACACAAAGACAATGTTAGACTGCTGATTGCTGCATCAGATATTTTACAAATGACGAATTTGAAAGATCTGGTTTGTAGGTTTTATGAAAAGAAGCTTTGTGCATCTAACTGCCTGTCCATATCTTCACTAGCTGATGAGTTCAATTGCAAGACACTGAAAAAGAATGCAGATGCCTTTATTTATAAATACTTTGCAGACCTCAGCCACTCAGATGAGTTCAAAAGTCTCAATGTAGATCAAGTTATTCATATCATCAGCAACAATAAAGTGAATGTGAAGAAGGAAGAGAAAGTATATGAAGCTGTTATTGCTTGGATTGATTATGATCAAGAAGAGAGGTTTCAGTATCTTCTGAGACTCATGGAGAATGTCAGGCTTTTGCTAATTGATAAGTACTACTTGTTTGACAAAATTGCCTCGAACACAACAATAATGCAGAACATAGATTGCCAAGAACGTGTCTTGACAGCTATAAACTTTCAATGCCTTACGGATCGCAGATCACTGGTAGTAAGTCCCCAAGCGTCACCAAGACAGTCACTTGATGTAACAAAGATAGTTGTTGCTTGTGGAGGAGTGCAAGATGAACTTGCTTCAAAAGAGGCACTTTGCTATGTACCAGATGTTGATTTTTGGTACCCGCTTGCCCCTTTGCATGAAGAAAGAAGCAATTTTGGCTTAGCAGTTGTAGACCACAGCATTTTTGCCATAGGTGGAGATGTCAATGGAAAGACGTTGAAGTCAGTAGAATTTTACAATTTTGCCCTGGATAAATGGACTAGGAGTGCTAATTTGCCTGAGCCAACCATGGCACATGGAGCTGGAGTTTTGAACAACGAAATATATGTTGTGGGGTCAGAAAGTCAAGGTCTTTGTTCAGATTCAGTATTCAAATATGATGCAGCTGCAGACAGATGGACCACTGTTAAGAAATTGAAAGTGCCAAGACGTGGGGCATGTGTTGTGTCACATCTGCAGCTTTATGCTATTGGTGGATATGGTCCAGATAGAATGGCCCTTGCAAGTGTTGAGCGATATGATCCATACCTAGGTGAATGGGCAAAAATCTTTCCCATGAATTCCCCACGTGCATTTGCCAGTGGTGCTGTTATTGGAAATAGAATCTATGTGGTTGGTGGTGAGTATGCAATGTGGTCTTTCTACTGCTCAGGAGAGTTTTTCAACATCAGCACTGATGAGTGGCATCGCATTGCAGATGCATCTGTGCCCCGCTCATTTACCGGTATTGCAGTACTTTACGACAAGATATATGTATTTGGAGGTATAAAAATCATGAATGCTGGAGATGATGATTTTGTAGATGCATATGAAAGTTCTGATGTTGAAATTTATGACCCAAAAAGTGACACATGGAAAACTGGTTGTCCTTTGCCGATTGCAACATCAGGTATCAAGTGCGTCTCAATGTTGGTCCCAAAACATGCCATTGAAGTTCGTTGTGGCATTCATTTTCCTTCCAGTAGTAATCATTGATGCTGCATTTTCAAATTTTGATATCATCTTTGTGAACAAGCCTTTAATGCTGTGTACAACAAATATGTGATTCATTTTTTGTTTTTGTATTGGTATGAATATTTTGTTACATATTATGTTTCTTAGTATATATTTTTGTAGGGTTCATCAATTTTTATTTAAAATGCATTATTTATCAACATTTTTCAAAATCGCATTCATTACTATATCAAGTTTCATTCATGTACATTTCAACCCCTATCATATGCCCTTTCAATAATACTTTGCTTTTTAATAACATATTTCAATTGGGAGGAGACCATTTAATGTTATCTGCTCTGAATACCATCTCCCTGTGAACTATTTTTATTTAACAAGCTATTAACCATCATCTCCAGCCCAATTCGACAGTTCAGAAATTCTCGAAACTGGCAACCAGGGCCGGTTCCAGGAAATTTTCTTGGGGGGGTGTAAGCTCTTATGTACCGAGTAATTTTAGAAAAAACAATACCAAAAATTTTGAGCTCAACTAATCGTGATCAGAACTAACAACTAAATGACTTACACTAACTTTAATTTAAGAAATTTAACTTTAACGAAAGAACTTTAATTTTAACTTCAATCTGAAAAAAGGGTTTCAACCAAATACAGCACGTTCTAATAAAAATACAGAGTCAGTGGTGGGTCAAAAAATAACCCTCAGATTTTTGCGAGTCATTTAATTAGGAGCTTTTGACCCAGCCTCTTTTTCAGTTCTTATAGCGCAATATATGAATAAATTAACTTTAAGTAGTGTCAAATCGAACTCTTCTGTTTTTTAAGTGTATCCAGTTCTTGACAACATCTTCCAAGTTGACATTTTCAGAGAAATCCTTCTCGCATGATATCAGCATCAGAGATTCCAGGCGGTCCTGGAGCATTGTGCTCCGCAGCTTAGTCTTCACCAACTTTAGTTTGCTAAAAGATCTTTCATTTGAAGCCACAGTAATTGGTGCTGTTTGAAGGAATGTTACCCCAGTTTTCTTTACAATCTGTAATTATCTGATCAAGTACAGAATAAATCTCTTTCGAATAAAACGTCTGGAAGGAGAATGCCTCCTCGTTGTCTCGGTTTTCATCAATTCTTCTTGGAATCAATCTTCTTCTGTGGCGGTGCTGAAACTCCTCTTCTGGATTTATTCCCATGTGCATTGCAATTTGTGTGGCAGCTTCAATCTGCTTTTGCACGTCATCTTCATTTCGAATCTTTTCTAACGCCCTAGTTGTCGATGACACTAGCTCAAGTGCGTCGAGTAAATTCAAACCCTCTTCCTGAAGTTGCACAACCAGAACCTTACAGCGCCGCATTATGAATCTCATAGTAGCCAAGCTGAAAACAAAATCAAATGTTTTCATTTTCTTCAAAATTGCTTTGGCTTGATCCTGTGTGTTTTTGTCACAGTCAAGTTGTCTATCCATTATCTGCTCGAGCAGCGAGACGATTACTGTCAAAGAGATCCAGACACTGTCAATAGATTCAGATCTAGCAATCCAACGAGTTTGCGAAAGATTTCGCATCTTCAAGGCCCCTTCTATTTCAACTTGTGCTTTTTCAAGTGCTTCAGATCGCTTGGTGCTACTAGAAAAGAATGTGTACAATGACTGTAATATGTCAAACATCGATGATACAAGACTGCTTGCTTTGGAGCTTCGTTCTACATATGTACTCAGCCTGTGAGCCTGGCATGGGATGTAAAGGATTTCCTTTTTGTGTGGAAAATCTTCTTGAATTTTATCACTTAGCACTCGTTGGCATCCTTTATACTTTCCAGACATACATGACGCAAAATCGTACGATTGAAAGACGAGTTTTTGTGGGTCCACACTACACTCATTGAGAGCTTTCAAAATTTCTGCAGCATGGCCTTCTCCGGACTTGTCTTTGAGAATCCTCAGACACAGTAAACGCTCAACCGGCTTGGCATTGACGACGTATCTTACAACAATTGCCATCTGATCTTTATTGCTTGTGTCCGGGGTAGTATCAGCCATTACTGAGAACGCTGAGACTTCCTCTAGCTCCTTCACCATACGATGCCTCACTGCGTCACCTAGCAACTTTATCAACTCATTTTGGGTGTCTTTGCTCATATAGGTAACATGGTATGGTCGCATCCTTGTTTGGTTCTGCCAGTATTTCAAAATGCCGCAATGTCGACTGATTAACCTCACAATCTCATGAAAGTTGCTGGATTCGTCAGTATTTCCACGAAATGCAAGGTCCTGCATAGCCATGGTGCGAGCAGCATCACATAATATTAACATAATTTTGGTGTTAAACATTGCGTCGTCAGTTTCTTTAATCATTTCATGACGACGAGACAAATCCAAAAGTGCATCAACGTTCTGATGTGGGTTAGGGAATCTTGCAAAATCTCGTAATGCTTCTCTGTGACTTTGGCTGGTGAAATGCTGTATCAGCTTGCCCTTCTTTCCTTTTCCAACACTCTTCATTTTGTGCCACTGTCTAACGCCATTAATAGTCCATGAAGCATCTGAAGAGGGTCTTCCAGCGCCGTTTGGAAATAAGGAACAAACATAGCAAAATGCTGCGTCATTTTGAACGCTATATTCAAGATGTGGAAAATCTTTGAACCAGGTGCTTGAAAACTTATTTTGTTTACCAGATTCAATGAATTCATTACTTGGATAAACTGTCAAGCGAGGCTGGTAGGGACCTAGGTTTATCACAAAACGGCGTTGGCTATCCGACAAATCTTTTTTTCTTTTTCCAGGGTCGTGTTCTATTAGTGCTGCTGCTTCTCCAGGTTGTACAGATCCTTTTTGCCTGTCAATTTTGACTTTAAGTCGTTCAGCAGATTTTTCTAAATCATTACACTGGGTTTTAATCTCGTTGGCAAACTCTTTTGCAGATATCGCAAACTCTTCGATATTTGGGGTACATGGTTGTGTTAGAATGTTTAACGTCAAATTACCTCTTTGCTCCAAAGTGGATAGCAGATGCTTGAGCTTTCCCGCACAGCTAATCCAATAATCATCATTTTCATCATGGGTGTCATCGTTTTCGGAGTTTTCAGCCTCACTCTCGCTCTCCTCATCAACCACATTCTCACCGACAACATTACTAATATTAGATACTGATTCTTCTTTTGCAGAATTCGCTAACCCAATCTCTTCGGTTTTGTCATCCAATATCTTCTCAGATGAAGATGAAGAAGATGAATCTTTTTCTTCAATTGGATTATCTTTCTTGCGTTTAGCTGCTTCAAAAGGGTTTTTAACTGCACCTGCGGTTTCATATGGCACATTTTTGCCTTCATGTTTCTCTCTATTGTGTTGGAGGCGATAGTCACTGTTGAACTGGGAATTACACCCTTTTGCCTTGCATCTTATTTTTACTTGTCTTCTTTTCATAGCAGTGAAACATAGCCTGGTAAAAATAATTGTTCTCAGTTTTACTTCAGATGAAGAGACCCACTTGAAAAAATTCTCAAAAGCTCAAACTCAGGCCTTGTCAAATCTTGGAAAATCTTGCTTTTCAAACAGGCCTAGACTTTTTGTCACAGGCTTACGCGAGAATTACAAAATTCAAAACAAATGATTATATGGATATGTCTTCAGAAAATAAAATTCAAAAAACAGAAAGATCATTATTTGAAGCAAGTTTTTGAGTTACCTGAAAAGCTGCCGTTTCCCTTTCAAGTAGCGTAATACTTATTACTGTTACTAGTTTTTCAATTCTACTTTTGTTCGTCAGCTCAGCTTCATTCAGATAAAGGATTACCAGAGAATGTTGCTTCGCGGGTTTCGCGCCTTCTTCACAGGTGGCGTCAGTCACTATGTTTAGTTTTATTGAATAAATC